ACAAAATTCAATAAAATAATCACAACTCAGTTCTGGAGGTCTATAGGCAAGAACTCTTTTAGGACTTTTCTAGTGTTATCGAGACCTTCTTGTACACCCAATATGAACTTAAACGACAAGGATCAGCTGCTCAAGTATAATCTGGAAGCTAACGAGAGAACTATTTCACATGATAAATCATTTTTGAGTTCGCATTCTATGTATAATATAGAATCAAGTAAGATATGGAATCCTTCAAAAAAGGTAAATGGTCTTAGACTTTTCTTTCAAAGTTATAACTATTTTATTAGAATTTCAGGCTATGACACCGATATTAAATTTATAAAAAATATTTATGTCCTACGAACGATAGAAGATTGTCAGATTTTTGAAAATTTAATATCTTGTGAAGAAAAATTTCGTTTGAGCTGAAATTTTCAGAAGGTTTTTCTCTTAACTAGATCTATCAGTAGGTGAAATATCATTATTCGATTTGTTCGTGCATATCGTGCTCTAGCCTAGAATTTCAGTAAAATGGTTATTTACTCTGGAAGAAAGACCTAAGAGCACTTATTATTTTTCAAACGTTTGATGTCTTACGAGAATCTGAGCTTAAAAACAATTTATTACTTGAAAGCATTATCTCATAAGATCAATTGTAGTTCCTTCTAGATGCAAACTTAATTGGACTCAAGTTCACAGAAACTGATCATTACAAAAATTTTTTATTTTCAATTTTTTTATCAATAATTTAAACGTTTTATTTCCAGTATATGGGTAGTTTTGATAGATGTCTTGTTGATGCACCATGTAGTTGTACAGGTGTTATAGCAAAAGATCCAGCAGTGAAAAATTCTAAAGTAAATCTTTATGGAAATATAATTTAGAAAAAAACTGATTTATATTTTATTAAAATTAGGATGAAAAAGATATTCAACGATGTTTTACTGCACAACGTCAAATTTTATTAAATGTAATCGATTCTATTAATGAAAATTCAACTTGTTTAATCTTAGTAAGATGAATAGATTGAAAAGAAGAGAAAATAATAATAATAAAAAGTTTTGTATTCAAATAGGTTTAAGAAAATGAAGCAGTCGTACAATATGCATTAAATAATCGACCAGTAAAACTTGTTGAAACAGGTTTAGAATTTGGTATAGAAGGTTTTACAAAGTATGTTAAAAATAAATATTTCTAGATTTGAATTTCTTCTTTTTCATTGTATTTACTTTTAGTTTTAAAGGCACATCATTTCATCCATTTATGAAATATTGTCGTCGATATTATCCGCATTTATATAATTTGGATGTTTTTTTTTGTTTCTAAATTAAAATAACACTCAACAAAACAAGGCAATAAAAAAAAGGTTTGAATTGTTCTAAATGTAAATTTTTCATAAGATCAGCATTATTTTGTTTCAATCTTTCAGAATTTCAAGTAACACAAAAGAAGACGATTCAATGGTCGATGATTAATTTTTTCTTTCATTGTTTTTTGATTATTACTTTTTTTTTCTGTTGTTGTTGTTATTACAACAAGATGTGTGATGTTTTTCCGAATCTAATCTAATGGATATCATTGGTATAGTTACATGTTTACCATGACCTGTCTTTGACGCATCATGTTATGATGATAGTTTTGCTGATTGTCTTCCGTATAAATATACTGTTTTAATGCTTGTTCTTTTTACTATTATTATAACTAATAAACAATTTGGTACAAAACATATACAATGTAAGTGAGAACTAATTTATATAAAACTTTAACTGATGAATTTTGTTTCATTTATTTTAGGTTGGGGACCAGCTCAAGTTACGAAAAACTATGAAATAAATAGTGAGTTATTTTATTATCAATGAGAGTCTTGAAATGTGTTCGTCTCAATCGATTTGAATCTTTTAAAATATTTCTCTAGGACTTCTAGAGGCAAGAAAATTAAGTTTGAATGGAGAAAATTAACGTTCTTTTTCCAGGCATAGCCTTTTATACTGCATAAATTATATTACAACTTCTTTTGTGTGTAGAATTACAAGTGAGATAGTGATATAAGAACCTACAGCTTCAAAATAATCATTCAGGACTTGCTGAGCTCACTTCGCAAGGCTCTTAATCTATAAGCATACTATTTTATAGAGAAATGTTTGTTCTTTCATTTCAAAATTTATTTACTTTAAATCTAAAAGAATACGTAAATAGTCGCCATTTATTTATTCAATCGACCAATGTCACTTTTTTTTGTTACTCTCTTTTCAACTTGTGTTTTGATCAGTACCACTTATAAGATAATTCCATCATCTAGCACTATCTGATGGTCGATTCTCTTGAAGCAATTATTTCGATGCTATATGATAGCGCTCTCAATTTTCTTTCTATTTTTACATGCTATTTTTCAAAAAAACGGCAAAAACACAGTTCGATAGAGAAAAATTTTCTCTGTATATTGATTTTAGTGCTATATCTAGCCCCATCCAAGAACCAGAAAACCAATCACTGAGTATTTGCTATTGCTTCGTTTATTTCATTGTAGTTTATTGGATAAAAGTTCATACCACAAGATCAACACTCTTCTCTTCAGAATTGAGGATAAGAACAGATTTTGTTCGGTACAAGTGCAGTTTACACACACGCTCACCCTATTCTCGAATTAACTTCCTATATTTATGAATAAAATGCTAATTATGATCGTCATTCTCTTTTTCAGATGGCTGGAGTAATACAATGTTTTCGTAATGAATTTTTACCAGTTCATCAGAATGATGAATATGTTGATTTATCTAGTCTCGTTCAAAAACTCAAAAATTTCATCCCGATTCCATTGCGATGTACGAAACCAGAAGAATCTATCCAGTATGTAATTTCAGAAAGAATAAAAGATTTATTTTTCCGATATTTTTCACCAAGACGCGTATAACTACATTTTAGAAATATGGCAGCAGTTGTCATTATGAATTTT